CACCTATTGGTATCCTTGCCAACAGAGACAGAGTGGACATTTTAAGCTAAAATGTCCGAGGTTCTGTAAAGTGCATTGAGTTCACATTCTGTGCGAGATGCTAGGATATGAAAACTGGACATGTGGACTGTGACCCTGAAGGGGTGTTCAGGAAGGTCTGGGAGGGTTCTGTGGGGGTGTATGATAAAAGAGCTGGGTATGGAAATTTGACTTCCTGTCCACAAGAGGGCTAGAGCCTTCTAGGCAGAAGCAGCACAAAGATCCATCTCCCTCCTTGAAATCAAAATGACTACACGTTTTAACACAAACTTGTCAACTTTCTTTCTCTAAATCTTATGTAGTTCTGAAGAAGGTTGGCACACTGGCTGGAGTCTCAGTGGTGCGTGAGATCCAGGGGTTTCAGGGGGAATGGAAGCATCTGCGTCCTATCGCTGTTGCAAAGCCAGCTTTCTCCCTGCACTCCCTTCCCTCTGCCCTGCTCTGTTAGCTGCTTTGCCTCTGATCATCGCAATTTAATAACATCTAATGACACTCCTCTGCCGATTTCAGTGCCAGCTCCCCTTGGGACTTAAGCCTAGATGCAAGTATTAAAGAGAGGGCAGCCAAGGCTTCCAGGTTGCCAGTTTCTTGGCTGGAAATCCCATTCACGTTGGGAAACAGATTTTTAAAATAAATCTGGCACTGGAAGTGATGCCATCCTTTTGTAAAGCTGTGTCAATAATCATAAACCCTCATAATCATGCCCCCAACCTCTCGGCCAAGCTGACAAATATTTAGGCGTCAGCGTATCCTCATGATGCCACCTTCTGTTGACCCTGTGGGATTCTCTTGCTGTTTGGGTTGGCACTGGCTCACAGTCTTCTGTTTTATGTAATAAGGCACATGAGAGAAGCTCTTTGTACATAGCCTGTCCGCGTGGGTACTGAGCAAGAGGTCTTGTGTACCCCATCATTTTCGGCATGGTCAAAGCTAGTGAACATTTCTGTGGCCTGGGAAATGTTTGCTAACTATTGGCAAGGTTTTTATTTTCCAGTGCCATTTTGCTCCAGGCCAGGATTATAATGACCCGGCTTTGGTTTAAGATGAATTTTGCAAATATATGTGTGCGGTGGGGCTACATTTTCAGAGAAAACAAGCCTGGGTGTGGCCCAGGCTGATGTAATATAGCACTGCAAATGCTCAGGCAAGCCAACGAGGCTTACCCTTTGCAGATTGTACCAACAATCGAGGTCTGTAGGAGGACACAGGAATTCTCTCATTCTGAGAAGGTGGTTACTAGCATGTGACACAACACAGAGACTATTTTCTGATATGTTTTCCGTGTTTGCTTCAGTCTATCAAGGGAAAGGGCCATTTAACGCACTTGGGCACTTAGTTGTATCATTTACATTTCTTCCTCACTGAGTTTCTTCTTCCTTCCTTTCTTCCTTCCTTCCTTCCTTCCTTCCTTCCTTCCTTCCTTCCTTCCTTCCTTCCTTCCTTTCTTTCTTTCTTTCTTTCTTTCTTTCTTTCTTTCTTTCTTTCATCAACGTGGTGTTAAATGTTAACGTCAGGTGTTGGCAGGCCTTGCAGGGGGAACAGATTGCTTTGAAATAAACACAGCTGGGAACTGACCACATATCGTTTTTCTTTCTTTTAAGAAATGAAAGAAGCATTTATTATAGAAAGGCTGGAGCATGCACGACTGTCCAGAATTCCTTTATAGATTTGTTTTCTTCCATGTCGGGGTAACGGTTAGCGTCACGCCTTGGTGTCCAAATGGACCCACTTTTCCTTCTTTCTTTGTGAAGTTGCGGTTTGCTGGGAACAATAAACTCAGAGAGGTTTGCTGCAATCTGCACTTGAGAGGGTGGAGTCTATTCAGTGCTGCTTCTCTCTGCTGAAGTGTGGTCTTCAGAGCTAAGCAAAGAATGCCTTGTGTGTGGTGTTCTTCTGCTAGCCTTGCTTGCAGCCTTGAAAACCTCATCCGAGTCACTCCCGGCCTCTTACTGGGCTCCTCTTTCAGTGATGGGCAAGTAAGTGAATTGTGGAATTTTTGTGCATGTGTCTGTGATTTTTGTTTGATTTGATGCACTACGGAAAATGAAGGCAGGGTACGTTATAACTGTGTAATTCAACCAGGTTTGGTATCTCTTGCAAGTAGTTGTCTTATTGCTGTCAGAAGAGAAGCAGGAGCCTTTTTTTCTCACACCTGGAAGACTTTATTTTTGTTTTGGTCATTTATTCGTTTAGTCTCTGTGCCAAGGGCCTCTCTCTCTCTCTCTCTCTTTCATTTACTCTTTCTTTGCATAGACGTTTCAATGATTTGTTGAGTTATAGTAGAACAGTGAATTGTTAATAATCAATTGCTATGGTAGAAAAATGCATTGCTCTATTTTTCAAAGGCAGTTTTCCCCATAAATAGCTCTCTCTCTTGACATCTATCTTGTCAGAGCTGAGTTAGATGAAGAAGAGAGAGATACGGGAATATAACTTTGGTTTGCTTAAATGGCATTGGGGGAGCCTTTTTTCACAGGCAAAATATATTTAACTTTGGTTTTATTTTGTTTTAATGGAGAGGACTACAGGGTTGTATCTGCTGGGGTTATCTGAATTACCTGGCACCTGGGTGGGAGTAGAGATGTGGTCATCTGGACAAATGGCACTTGTCGTTCATTCCTCACTAGAGTATCCCATTTAAAGTAGCATCCTCTGTCAATTTAACTGAGGCCCATGGAGAGGAACCGTTGGAATTAGGCCACTACATCTATTTGGATTTTCACTATCAGATCCAGCACTTATCATCGTTCCTGGGATACAGCACAGCTCCTTGTATTATCCACCATATGTATGGACAAGGCTTTACATATTGTCTAACTGACTAACTTAGTAGCATGTGCTAAGCAGACATCTGAGCTCCAGGAGGAGGAAAGTACATGGTGAGTTTCGAGTCTTGTGAAACACATAGATGAGTCCAAAGGAGGAGAGCATTTGAGAAAACCTGTTACAACGAAGGTGGACCTGAAAGGCTTTCTCTGCCTTGGCTACTGCCAAGCATATTTTTTCTTGGCTTTATACAACTTGGCAGAGTTGGTCTTGATTTTGGATTCTGAAGGCATAGAGAAATAGAGTCAGTTACACATTATCTTGGACTGAGATAATCTGACCAGTTCCACTCATGAATTTCTTAAATGACTTACTCTGTTTTATTGAGACTGTACAGATTCTTTCTCTAAATGATTATAATTAACTGCTACTTAAGATAAGTCTGTGTTTGTTCATATGTGATACCCTCTGGCCTTCCTATCCAGCCCAAGAAGGTAGGGATTAGTATTATTTCCCCATTTTACAGTTGAGGATATTGAGAGTCAGGTGAAAAGTGACTCTGGAGGTTACTTGGTGAGGGAAATACTAGATGTAAACTGGTTTTTTAAAAGCTCAAAATCTCATGCTCCTCTTGCCCCCCCCCCCCATCTCTGAACTCCTTCCATTGTAGAATAGGAGGAGAATAAGCTGTGATTTGGGTGTCGGAGACCTAGATTCTGATCCTGGCTGGGTTGTTGCTGGCTCTCTGATGTTGAACAGTTACTGAAGTCTTTGGATGTCATTTTCCTGTAAGGAGGTTATATTCTTGATGTCTTATGTTTCTTTGCATCTTGAGAATCTCTATCAAGGGCTTTGTCCAGGACTGGTGTCATTGCTGTAGTACACCCCTGCAATGTAGAGCAGAGGGGAGAAAAGAAAGTAGAACTATCTGCCTTCTATCCAGATCTGTTTTGGTTTCCCCTGCCAAGCAGGAAGAGATACAGGATCTCCTTAGGTGAGGAATATTCTGGGGCCTTAAGAGACTATTTTCTTGGATCTGTCTCCTGAGCTGGCATTTCTCAGTCGGTTCTTTTTTTTTTTTTCCTTGAGAGATGGGGGAGGGGCAAGAGGAGAGGAGAGACAGAGAATCTTAAGCAGGCTCCATGCCCAGCACAGAGCCTGACACGGGGCTCGATCATAGGAACCTGAGCCCAAATCAAGAGTTGGATGCTTAACTAACTGAGCCACCCAGGTGCCCTGTCAGCCTGTTCTTTTTTATTCATCAACAAGATTATTTGAGCCAAAGTCTCTGCAGTTTCAATCCAGAGATGAACACGTGGGTTACAATCCCACCTGGCCCCAAAAGAAGTGATAACCTCCCTGCACGAGCCCATCTGTTATCTTATTCCTTTTTGGAACAGGGTAAATGTAAATAAATATTACTTTCTCCCTCCTTTAGGTGTTTCATCTTATGGTAGGTGGTTGACAAATGGGCAGGGCAGAGGAGCGGGAAGGTATTGTTTATTCTCCCTCCGTAGTTAACTCTATCAGTTGTTTACAGATCAAATTAGAACGTTATAAGATACTGAGATAAGGGTGATTATATTTGACTGACATTGAGAGGAAAAATTCTGTAGCTACCATTTACCATCTACCATTATTATGTACAGGAAAGAACAAAGAAGTTGAAACAACCACCTCTCAGTAGGGAGAAGAGGGCAGCTCTCCTGAGTAAAGAGAGTTAGCATTCTTATACTGGTAGTTTCATCCCTTTTTTTTTTTTTTTAAGATTTTATTTACTTATTCATGAGAGACACAGAGAGAGAGAGAGAAAGGCAGAGGCAGAGATATAGGCGGAGGGAGAAGCAGCCTCCATGCAGGGGGCCTGATGTGGGACTCGATCCCAGGACCCGGGATCATGCCCTGAGCCAAAGGCAGACGCTCAACCACTGAGCCACCCGGGGCCCCTGATAGTTTCATCCTTAAGTGGTGAAAAACCTCATCCATGACCACAATCTGCATTTGGGAAGCTGTGCTTTGCCTGATGCTTGGGTGCTGGTCACTCACAGACTTCCTGGCTAGGAGGTGGGGTTTTTGAATGAAGAGGTGAGAGCTCCACGTTCCCAGGCTAGCCCTTTCTTCTGCTGCAGTGTCTCTGTCCCCACACTCATGCTGTAATACAGACCTTAACTTTATGCTTATGTCTTTCCCCGTAGGCAGGAAGCGGAACCCTGGTCTTAAAATTCCAAAAGAAGCATTTGAACAACCTCAGACCAGTTCCACGTAAGTTGACAAGATCATCGTCTTACTCCAAACACTTCACTTTACAGATTTCCAGGGAAGGGGGGTTCATTTTTGGGTTGATGAGCAATGCCTTGACTATGGAAATCACTGTTAGAAAGAAGAGCCCCCCCCCCTTTAAAAAAGATTTTATTTATTTATTCATGAGAGACACACAGAGAGAGGCAGAGACATAGGCAGAGGGAGAAGCAGGCTCCTTCTGGGGAGCCCGGCACAGGACTCGATCCCAGGACCCCAGGATCATGACCTGAGCCAAAGGCAGACACTCAGCCACTGAGCCACCGAGGCGTTCCAAGAAGAGCCCTTTAAAGCAGGGAGCCATGGGCTCACTGCTCTGAGACCTGAAATAATCAGGTCAGTCAGTCTATGTTGAATGGATAGCTTTGAACTCAGCGTCTCACCTTACTGGTTGGCAGAAAATGGAGTGTCACAAATGCATTTGGCAGATGGGGTCCTATGAAGTTCAGAAAGGTCCCTGGATATGGATTTTTTTTGCCTTTTCCACATAGACTTGAGCAAATAAGCAAATCCCTGTGAGAGCCACGACTATAAAACTTGGGTTGAGATGGAAAGATGGTATTTGGTAAGGACTCAGCATCCTGACACCTAAATCCTGTCCCATATAAATAGAAGACAAAATGAAGTAAAGGAACTTTTTAATTTTAATTAGCAGAGGCTTTGGCCCAAATCCCTAAGTGAGCTCAAGTCCTGGTGAAGCAAGATTACCCTCTCGTTTAGCCTCCCTCTTATTTCTTTTTCTCTCTGTGGGGTAGTGAGAATACCTCCTGTCCTGCTGGAGGTATGACCATGTTATTACAAAGCATCTCCTTGGGAGGAATGGAAATTGCAAGGAAAAAATTCGGATCAGAAGTACAAGAGAGGCAGAGCAAGTATAAGGAAAGGCCATCCCAGTGGAAGCTCGAGACCAAAGGCCTTTGCTCATCTCTACAAAAGTGTCTCCCTTTCTAAAGGTTTTTGGCCTTCACCATGATTCATCCTATCAGAAATTGCCCCTTCTGGTGGTGGAATGTTCTGATCATGTCTACTGTAAGACTTTGTTGAGACCATTGGCTATTCCATGAGTGGTATGAAGAAATGTTCGGTTCAAGAACATTGAAGTATGGAGCCGAGTGGAGAGCCACTCCTCAGGGTAGCTCAAGGGCCACACTCACCTTAGACAGTTCCTTTAGTGAGGCCCTACAGGACTAGGTTCTTTTCATATCTGCTATGGAGAGAGATTTTTTTTTTTTCTGGCCCTTTTGGTTTTTTTTTTTTTTTTCCTGTGGCCCTGTGACCTGTGTAATTCGTAACTTCTCCCCTCTCAAGAGTTTAGACTCAAATATATTGCTTCCTTGTACTATCTGCATAGGACTCTATGTCATAGACTTTTGAAACTTTTCCACTTGAAATGATTGTAGATTCACAGGACATTACAAAGAAATGCACTGGGAGATCCCATATACTCTTCCCCTGGTTTGTGTCCTCTCCTCCATGTTAACATCTCACACAATTGCAGCAAAATATCAAAACAGAGTGGCATTGGTGTAAACCTAGAACTTATTCAAATCTCACCAGTATTCTAAGTTCTTGTGTGTGTATTTGTGTGTGTGTGTAGCTCTATGCAATTTTATCACGTGTGTAGCCTTATGGAACCACTACCATAATCAAGATACTCAATTGTATCAACGCCACAAGACTCTTTGGTGTTATTCCCTTAGAGCCACGCCTACCTCTAACCCCCAGTCCTAACCCTCTGGCAACCACTAATCTGTTCCACATTTCCATTTTGTTTTCATGGTTGCTGCATAAACGGAATCATGCATCTATTTGAGATTGGCTTTTCCATTCTACGTAGTTTCTTTGAGGTTCATTCAAATTGTTCCTTGTATCAATAATTCTTTCCTCATTATTACTGAATCCATTCCATGGTATGGATATACCATGGTTTCTTTTAACCCTTTAGCCTTAGAAGAAGATATGGGTAGTTTCCACTTTGGGACTGTTACGACCATAGCAAGTTCTTGCGTGAAAATAAGTCTTCATTTCCCCATGGACATATGTCCAATAGTGCATTTTCTGGGTCATATGGTAAGTCCATTTTTGAAATAACTTCCAAAATATTTTCCAGAGTGGTTGTACCATTTTACATTCTTATTAGCAATTTATGAATGATCCAGTTTCTCTGCATCCTTGCCAACATTAACACTGTTTCCCATTTTAGTCATTCTTTTTTTAGAAAAATATTTATTTGTGTGTGTGAGAAAGAGAAAGTGCAAATTGGGGAGTGGGGGGGGGCGAAGGGGAGGGAGAGAGTATCTCAAGGAGATTCCCTGCTGAGCATGGAGCCTGACAGAGGACTCTGTCTCATGACCCTGAGATCTTGACCTGAGCTGAAATCAAGAATCGGGCACTTAACTGACTGAGCCACCCAGGTGCCCCATTGGTCATTCTGATCGATGTATAATATCATATCCTTGCAGTTCTCGTTTTCATTTCTGTAGTGGCTAATGCTGCTGAGTATTTTTAGGTGTTTATTTCCCATCCATATATCTTTGATGGTGAAATATCTGTGCACGTCTTTGCCTGCTTCCTAATTAGATTACCTTTTTTAATGTTGAGTTTTGAGACTTCTTTCTGTATTCTAGACACAAGGAGTTTGTCAGATACGTGATTTGAAAACATTTTCTCCTCATCCTTTTATTTTGATTAAATCCCGCCTAGCAATTTTTCCTTTTATGGGTCATGCTTTTGGTGACAATTTAAAGAACCCATTGCTCCACACTTTGTTCTTATGTTTCAAGATAATTTTGGCTATTTTAGGGCTTTTCTTTCCATATTAGTTTTAGAAGTAGCTCATCTATGTCTGCAAATGGACTTGCTGAGATTTTGGTAGGAATTATGTTGAACCTTTAGATCAATTTAGGGAGTACTGACATCTTGACTACACTGTCTCCTAGTCCATGAACCTGGTAGACTTCTGCAAGTCTTTAGATTTTCTTTGATGTCTTTCATCAATATTTTATAGTTTTCATCATACAAACTCTTTGCATTAGGGGTTGTGAAGATTTTTACCTAAGTATTTCATTTTGTGGAGGTAACCATAAATGATACTCCATTTAAAATTTCGGTTTCCACCCGTTAAGGGTCAGTGTATTGAAATACAATAGATTTTTCTGTATTGCTCTTATAATCTGTGACCATACTGAATTCACTTAGAAGTTCTAGGAGTGTTTTTGTAGAGGTTTTTTTTTTTTTTCATTTTTGTAGATTTTTTAGAGTTCTATGTAGTCATGCCGTCTGCAAATAGAGACAGTTTTCTTTCTTCCTTTCTGAACTGTATTTTAAAAAGCTTTTTATTATTTTTTTGCTTTATTTCAGTAGCAAGAATATCCAGTACTGTGTCACATAAGATTGGTGAGAGCAGGCAACCTTGCTTTGTTGTTACAGGGAAAGCATTCAATATCCTACCATTAGGCATGATGTTAGGTTTTTGTAAATTGAGGGTTGAAAAAGTTCCTCTCTAGTCATGGGGTATTGAGGGTTTTTACTGTTAATGTGTGTTGAATTTTTGTTAAGTGCTTTTTTGTGCATCTCTTGACACAATCATAGATTTTTCTTCTTTGTACTGTTTAAATGGATTGCATTGTGATTGATTTTTAAATATTAAACTAGCTTTGCATACCCAAAATAAATCTCACTTGGTTGTGGTACATTTTTTTTTTTTATATGTCATTGGATTCAATCTGTTGAAATTTTGTTGAGGATTTTTGCATCTAAATGCATGAGAGATGTTCATCTGTAGTGGGTTGTCTGGAGTTTTTTTTTTTTTTTCCTTTTTTCTTTTTCGTTGTGTTATTATTTTCTGGTTTTGACATTAAGGTAATTTGGCCTCATAAAATGAATTGTTAAGAGTTTCTTCTGTGTTTTTTTTTTTCCTGGTAGACACATAAAATCTGTATTAATTCTTTTTAAAAAATGTTTGCTAAAATTCTCCAGTGAAACAAAATGAGCCAATATATTTCTTTTTTTCCTGGAGCTTTTAAAATACAAAATCAATTTCTGTAATGGTTGTAGGACTCTACAGATGATCTGTTTTTTCAAGTTTGGATGGTTGTAGGTTTTCAGGGAACTGGTCCATTTCTTCTAAGTTGTTGAATCTTTAAGAGTAACATAGCTTCTAGTATTTCCTAATTATTCTTTGAATGACTGCAGGACATGTGATATCCCAGTTTTTCCTGAGATTGGTAATCTGTGCCTTCTCTCTTGTAGTTTGTATCAGTCTTACTGAGGTTTACTAGTATTATTGATTTTTTTAAAGGATTTTATTTATTTATTTAGAGAGCATGTGTGCGAGAGCGTGAGGGACAGAAAGAGAGGGACAGAGAAACTCAAGCAGACTCCCCACTGAGTGCATGGAGCTTGACTCGGGGCTCTGAGATGAAAACCTGCGCTGAAATCGAGAGTCACACGCTTAACTGATTGAGCCACCCCGGTGCCCGTTTTTTGGATACATTCTTATGTCACCCTTCCACTTGTCTTACATTCCTTCCCTTTAAATTTTTAGTCCTCATTTTCTTCTAACTTATATTGATTTTCTGTATTTTGTGAATTTTATGAAAGCCACAATAAATCCTTCCTTGGTATAAACAAATGAATAAAAACCTACGCAATGATAAACATAGTTTCTGTGTTGTCTTTCCCTCATGTGTTAGAATAAACTTTGAATATGATTTTCTTTTTCACTGTGTAAAGCCAAGAGCATCGCTTTATTATTACAGACTAGACCACTTTAGCTCATGGAGAGCCTTATTATTAGTAGTTGTATTTTAATACCGATTCTTATATTTGTAGTCCTAAAGAAGTAGCTTCCACATTTTGTGTTTTTCTTGGCGATATTTTAGGGTTGGCTTGGTGACTCTTACCATTTATACCCTGCCTTCTTCTGCCGTACTACACAAAAATAAATATCCTGGGACAGAGCTCCATTCTTCCTAGTTTCGTGTGTGTGGTCCCTCTGCTTGAGCTCTTTCTTTGAGTAACTGATGCCAATGTGTTTTTGGCTCAGGTTTCTGAGCTGTCCCCATACTTGATTGGCAACAGCTAATTCTGAATTGATTCTGTGCTAGTGAGTATTATTCCAGTTAACCCTCCCAAGAAGCTCAGGAGGCAGTTACTGTTACTTTTACTTCATAAGTGAGAAAACAGATCTGTACAAGGTCAGGTGCTCAGAACAGTTGGGCATCACTTCATGGGTAAGAGTTCAGGCTCAAGCTAGAATGCTTAGGTTCACATTTGGGATCTAAACTTGACTAGTTGAATACCTTTGGCAAGCTCCCTACCCCTACTAAGCCTTAGTTTCTCCTTCTGAACAATGGGAATAAATAGTGATGTGGTTGGTGTGAGGAGTGGGTATCATAACCCTATTAAATGCTTAGCCTAGTTCCATTATAACTTCTCAAAGAAGGTTGCTCCAAGTCACTGCTATTATTATTACTAATCCACTTAGTAATTATTAATAATTATTATAATTAAGTGGAAGAGCTGGCATACAAAGTCAGGGCTCTCTGTCTTTCAAGTATATGTTCTGAGCCACATGTCAGACTGGTACAGAGTGTGGTCAAATAGTCTGTGGCTAGCAAAACAAGAGGCAGGATCTTTTACTTCTATAGTCGAGAAGACATCATTGTGAGGCTCTGGGTTCTAATTTCACCACGTCTTTGAAGGACTTTAAGTTATTTAGTTTTTTTTGTTGTTGTCAGCTCTTCACATTAAGGTAGAGTTATGTAAATTAAAGAAGATATTTTGTACAAAGGGTATGGCACAGTCTCTGGCTTAAGTAGGTGCTTAGTTAAATATTGTCAAACAGATGAAAAAAAACAAACAAACAGATGAATAATAGTTCTCCTAATAACCAGTAAACTGATTATTTATGACTTAGAATTACAAATAAATAATTATTATAATAAGCCAAACAAAGCCTATTGTTCATAAAAGCCAATAAATACTAGGGGCACCTGGGTGACTCAGTTGGTTAAGTGTCCAACTCTTGGTTTTTGGCTCAGGTCATGATCTCAGGGTCGTGAGATGGAGCCCCGTGTCAGGCTCCATGATGATGAGCGTGGAGCTTGCTTAAGATTCTCTCTCTCCCTCTGCCCCCTCTTCCTGCTCCTGTATGCATGTGTACTCTCTCTCTCTCTCTCTCTCAAAAAAAAAAAAAAAAGACTAATACTAGGTGACCTTTAGAGTATCTTTGACCTTCCAGGGAAGGAATTTTGTAATAAGTTTGTTTCTTTCCCCAGAGGACTAAAATATTGAATAAGCAACAGAGAACGTACACCCACAGTGAACCTCCTGCAGAGACTCAGTGCCCCAGGCAAGCTAATATGCCCAGCCCTGGACAGAACACAGTGTCAACTAGTCTAATATGAGCCATCAGCCTTGGCTCCATCATTTGGTGCTTTTGGCTGACCTGATGAGTCCAAAGGCCTCAGGCTTGGGCGGATTGATCATTTTCATTAGAGGGGGCCTTGGTGTTGGGAGTAGGTTCCTTGGATTCCATCAGACTTGGACTGAAACCATGGCTTTACCACTTGGGAGCAAGTTAGTTAAACTCTGAGCCAAATAGTTTCTCATCTGGACCACAGGAGTAATGCTGCTTGTAGGACTCTGTGTGTGTGTGTGTGTGTGTGTGTGTGTGTGTTTAAAGAATTAAATGAGATTTAGGTAAAGCATTGCACCCAGTTCACCATATGTCCCTTCTCTTTAGGTCAAGACTGAGATTCAAGTGGCATGAGTTTTATTTTCAGGCCGGGTGGGCTAGATGGTTTTAGCAAATCTCTGTGCTTTTCTCATTCTGGAAGATGTCATGACCCCCTCCTATTCGGTAGAGGCATAATGCAGGGTTAGTACAATACTGGAGTTCAACAAACTTTTTCTTTTTTTTTTCAAAGGCCAGCTAGCTAGTAAATGTTCCAGGCTACCTGGGCCACAGTGGCCTCTGTCGAATATTCTTTGTGGTTTGTTTTTCTACAACTTTTTAAAAAAGATTTTATTTATTTATTTATCCATGAGAGATGCACAGAGAGAGGCAGAGACATACACATAGGGAGAAGCAGGCTCTTCATAGGGAGCTCGATGCAGGATTCGATCCCTGGACTCGGGATCACACCCTGAGCCGATGCAGATGCTCAACCACTGAGCCACCTAAGCGTCCCTTAAAGATTTTATTTATTTGTTCATGAGAGACACACATAGAGAGGCAGAGACATAGGCTGAGGGAGAAGCAGGCTCCCTCTGGGGAGCCCGATGTGGGACTCGATCCCAGGACCCCGGGATCATGACTTGAGCCAAAGGCAGATGTCCAACCACCGAGCCACCCAGGCGCCCCTTCCTACAACTTTGTAAACTTGAAAAAAAAAATCATTCTTAGCAGGACCACAGTCTGTAATTTGCAAAGCCCTGCATGAATACTGGAATACCAGAGGTAGAAGAGGTCTTCCCCAGTGCCCTCCTTGGATGGCAAGAAAACGGAGGTAGCCCAAAGTAATAGTGACCTTTCTGTTGCTTCATGCTTTTTAAAAGGAAGGGTGCTGAACAACTGCAGAAGAGTTTTTATTGTTTATGATTGTCACATGTTTCAAGTAATACTCGTCTTTATTTCAGAGTTCCATTGCAATTAGTACAAATCATTGATGATGAAAGAAAAATCACTTTGGAAATTTTAAGAATGAGCGATCAGATTTTTAGAAATTGAATCCTCTGGAAAGTATTTCTGAAGAAAACCTCCCTGCTCATAAACACAAGATCTATAAAAACATCCCTGGTGTGTTGTGTGTGTGTGTGTGTGTGTGTGTGTGTGTGTTCCTCTGATTCTCTCCCACCCAGTCGCTGGTTTTAAGTTAGTATAGAAAAACTTTATTTTAGTGCATTTCAAGAGGGATTTTGAGGTAAGAGAGGGCTTGCCATTAAAACTTTATGTTTATATCTGTGTTTACATTCCCATTGTTTCCTTATCATTTTCTTTAAAGATTCTTTTTTAAAAAAAGATTCATTTATTTATTCTTGAGAGACCAGAGAGGGGCAGAAACACAGGCAGAGGGAGAAGCAGGCTCCATGCAAGAGCCCGATGCGGGACTTGATCTCAGATCCTGAGCCAAAGGCAGCCGCTCAACTTCTGAGCCAACCAAGCGTCCCTTTTCCTTACTGTTTTATTGAGTTAGTTTCAGCAGAAGGGGCGGGATTATAACACATTAGGACTGGGAAAAATTGTTATGGGCTAGGATTCCTTTGCGCTCCCTTCCTTCCCTTCCATTTTCCCTTGTATTTTTCTAGAGACTATTCTGGAATGGAATGTCTCCTTAGGAAGACCTGGGTCTCTTTGGTCAGCCTGGACCCTAGCAGCCCTAGGATTCTTTTGTCTTTTTGTTGTGATACTTTGGGTGCATTTATTTTAAGAAAGCGCTTTTTGGAGCTTCTAGCTAGTCGCACGGCCAAAGCCAAACATCTTTCTCTTAAATGGATTGATACCAAACTGGGTAGTAGAAATAAATACACATGAGGGCACTGTATGCTTTCTCTATGGAGACAAAATCAGCCAAGCTCTGGCTGCTGAGATGGCCCCTGGATAGTGTGTGTGCTACATACGGAAGAAATTACACAACTGCATTAGGTAGCCTGATAAAAGAGAAACTATTCTGATCTGCGAACTGGAAGACCTGGGTTAGTTGTGACCTTGGGCAAGGTCACTTCACCTCTCTGGACCTTTTTTCCATCTATAAACATGGGGACTAGATAGACTTGGAATTATTATGGTTTATGAATTTTGTGAGTTAACTTAACCATGTGATAATTATTGTTTTTTAAAAATCATTGTGGAAAAATGTGGTGGAATAATTGGGCACATTGGTGTTCTTGGATGAAAGAAGAAATTTGGGGCTTAGAAGAAGAGTATAAGTATTTATATAATTACATACACCTCGCTCATATTTATTGAACATTTACTCTATGCCAGCCATTCTGCTAAGCATTTTACTTGGAATATCTCAGGATATGCTAATATCCTCATGTTAAAGAATAGAAGCTCAAAGAGATTGTCATTTATTTTATTTTTAAAAAAATATTTATTTGAGAGAGAGAGAGAGCATGAGAGCAAGCAGAGGGAGGAGGGGGAGGGACAGAGGGAGATGGAGAGAATCTTAAGCAGACTCCCCACTGTGCACAATGCCCAATGTGGGTCTCGATCCCACAATCTCGAGATCATGACCTGAGCCAAAATCAAGAGCCGGATGCTCAACCGATTGAGCCACCACAGAGATTAAGTCATTTAAACCCAGATATAGTTTATTCCAAATCCCACACTATTAACACTTTTGTACTACTTTGTTTTACTGATGAACTTCCTAAGGAAAAAAATCCCTCCTGTTGTATGTGATTTGGGAATGGCATATTTGACTAAATATACCTCATGTTCCCCCCCCCTTTTATTTTCGTAGGCCACCTCGAGACTTAGACTCTAAAGCTTGCATTTCTATCGGAAATCAGGTAAGAAGAATCATGTTTGCCAGTTAACATCTTGACCATTTCTCATGCATGCTTTCCGACTGGCCATTGAAAAATATATTTTCCATACCATGCCGTCAGGGGATGGGCCAAAAAGTTTGAATTTAAGCAGAAGTGGTATGTGGCACTTTTGCTGCTTTGAGTGCCTTACTGAAATCAGGCTAGCGTGGTTCTGATGGAAGGTATTTGAGGAGGGGAGTAGATGATTCACTCTGGGGAGTGCTCCTCCGAGTCCAAGGGTGGATCTAGTTGGCCATCAGTCCACAAATGGATTAAATGCATGAGGAAGGGGGCAGGAGGGCAAAGGAGCCACAGTGTAGATAGGTCAAACCAAGCAGGTTGAGTTGAGGCCGGATCTCTGTGCTGCTGGTGACAAGCAGGTGGCATACTGTGCAAGTCTGAACATGCCCTGGTGCTTCCCGTGTTCAGCGGCTGCTTGGATAAAGCCTCTAGGCCAGAAATAACCCTTAGAACGTTGGGAGAAGCCAGAGAAAGGATGAGGTAATCGTCGTCTTTTATTTTTTCTTTACTATTGCATTGTTACTTTTCTCTCCTGCAGAACTTTGAGGTGAAGGCAGATGACCTGGAGCCTATAATGGAACTGGGGCGAGGTGCGTACGGGGTGGTGGAGAAGATGCGACACGTGCCCAGCGGGCAGATCATGGCGGTGAAGGTAGAGTTGACGCTCCCCAAACGTTTTCTGTCTGTGGTGTATCCGTTCATCCATCTCAGTTACAGATCAGTTCTATTTGTAGAAGACAAACAATCTTCAGTGGGGGTAAAACAAAGATTATTGGGAGGGAACAGTATTCCCTCCAAATGTGTGGAAGGTGCTTCCTTGGTGTGAGTTGCATTTACTGGTTTGGTTGTTTTTTTTTTTTTTTTTTTAACTGATAAATCCCACCCCCTCCTTTTAATTTTGTTATGTAACCACCATGCCATCACAGTTAAAAGAATATTATCAATACTTCTTTCATGTCATGGAATACCAGCTCCAAATTGAGATTATCGTGATCATCAAAATCTTTTTTTCTTTCTTTTCTTTTTTATTTATTTTTTTTATTTTTTTTGCCTGTTGGTTGTGGAAATCAGGATCCAAATAAAAAGTTCACATATTGCCTCAAAAGTCTCTTTTATTCTGTATTCTGTTGCTTTTAAAGAATGGTCCTTGAAAACCAGGAAATCAGAATTGAGGGAGAAAATTTATGTCCATTTGTGGGAAAAAGGGGGAAAAATGCATCTTGAGTGAGTTTGCATAATTTTTGAGCTATAAAAAGGAACTTAGAATCATTGCATATTTCTTGAATAGATGCTCAAGGGGCTTTGGAGATCCAGTGTCTCTACATGAGTTCATGGATTTGAGCCATTGTTAGGAATGCGCTCGAACCATCAGATGACTTGGACCCCTTTGTTTTTGGAGGATGGAGATATCTTTCCCTTACCTTGAAGATTCTGCAATGTGTTCTTCTGCAGACTTTTTGCTCATTAGGCAAAAAATATGAAAGCCTTGTGATGTTATATCTTTACTGTCAGTTAATGACAGAACCATGTTTCTTTAAGGCTAACACTTACTGGTGTGACAGGTGTGTCTTCTCTCAGAAGCCCTGGGATAGGAATGAACAATTTCTTCACTTCTACCTGATTCCATCCATTTTTGATAGCTCTGTCAATTCCTTTTTTTTAATTTTTTTAATTTTTATATATTTATTTATTCTTTATTCATGAGAGACACAGAGAGAGGGAGGCAGAGACAGAGTAGAAGGAGAAGCAGGCTCCATGCGGGGAGCCCGATGCGGGCTCAATCCCAGGACCCCAGGATCACAACCTGAGCTGAAGGCAGATGCTCAACCACTGAGCCACCCAGGCGCCCAGCTCTGTCAATTCTTTTACAGTTGCTACTTAGTCCAAATATTCTTATCTATCCCCAAAGAGGGGTTTTGGATTTTTCTGTGGGATCCTGCGTCAGCCACAAAGTCACGAATACTGTGGTCTCTGTACTGAACAGACATAACACAATAAAGCAGACTGCTTTTGTGACTTGGAAGGAAATACATTCGCCAACATTCACACACTGTCCAAAATATATTATCAGTTTGTTTCTTGCCAGAGATCTTTCAGGAAATCCACTGAAAGTCTTATTTCTCATTTGTTACAAACAGCTAATCACTAGGATAAATACTTGAAAGGTCTTTGCTCGAAATTGGGCTGTGAGTTTTGTAGTATTTTCGGGATGGGACTCCTTAATCTTTCAGGTCCCTGCCTTATTAACTGACTCATCCTCAGAGCAGTAACCATACATTTTTCCATGCGTTCCCATTCAGCGGATCCGGGCCACAGTAAATAGCCAGGAGCAGAAAAGGCTACTGATGGATTTGGATATTTCCATGAGGACAGTGGACTGTCTTTTTACGGTCACCTTTTATGGCGCACTCTTCCGGGAGGTAGGTGATCCTTCCATTCACCATCTGAGGAGAACAAGCAATTAAAAAGAAGTCTCTCTAATCACATGAACACAATACACAGTCCTGGCACTCTTTCTCGTTTGATGTGTCTTCTATAGAGACATCTCTGTTTGGGTGATGGTGACATGGCCCGCCGCGAAGTTGGCTTGAGATGACAGCATTAGCCCTTTTAAAGACACTGAGGCTCTCTTTCTCCTTTCTGTTCTGGTTTGTTTATTTTGGCATAGTCATCTATAGCAGCGGTCTATAGGCTAATTTAGATAGATTTCTTAAAACCTGAAATATTGTGGTCTTTTGGCCAAATGATAAGCTTCATTTACTTTGTTTATGGACCACACGGGCTTACATTTATCTTCTTGCTTTACCTCTGCTTTTACTTCACCGTGATATGGATTATGATGCTTCAACCAGCTTTTTTTTTTTAAAGTAGATTTTTTATTTTATTTTTTTCTTCTTAAAGATTTTATTTATTTATTCATAGACATAGAGAGAGAGAGAGGCAGAGACAGAGGCAGAGGAAGAAGCAGGTTCCATGCAGGGAGCCCGATGTGGGACTCGATCCCTGGTCCCCAGGATCACACCCCAGGCTACAGGCGGCGCCTAACCGCTGCACCACTGGGACTGCCCTCAACCAGCTTTTTGATGAACTATTGCCAGCGTTCTGTGTGGGAGGATAGAGCAGGCCTGTAGACCTAATCCCCAAAAGCCTGGATTTCTGGGAATCTATTGTTTGTGACTATCAGTAGAGATGCCTTTATTTATTTAAAAGAAGTTTTTTTAAAACTTTGAGTTGATACTCAATGTCCCATTAGTTGCAGTTGTACAACATAGGGATTCAACTTCTCTATACGTTATAGATGCTCACCCCAAATGTAGCGACCATCTGTCACCACATAATTCTGTTATTAGTACCATTGACTATTCCCTATACTGTGCCTTTTATTCTCGTAACCTCTTCATTCCATAGCTGGAGTGTTAGTATTCAGATCCTACTCTTTAACAAGGAGTAAGTAGGTGATCACATGCAAGTTCTGCTTGGCTGCCTGCTAGTTGGCTCTTTGGGAACACACTTGCTTGTTTGTGAATTTATTTGAGGTCTTGAAGGGAAATTGTACATTTCTGCCAAAAACTTAAGTAAGAAACAGTTCTTCCCGACAGGTATTAACTGTTTCCTTTTCTTTTCCTTTTCTACCCTCTCTAACAATCTCTGAACCAATCGGTCTCCAGGGTGATGTTTGGATCTGCATGGAGCTCATGGATACGTCGCTAGATAAGTTCTACAAACAAGTGATTGATAAAGGCCAAACAATTCCAGAGGACATCTTAGGGAAAATAGCAGTTTCTGTGAGTACATCATGGACCCTACCACAAGGAGAATATGAGACGTCTAGACCTTGTGTGTCTCTGATTCCCTGCTGTGAGGAAACACGAGTTGGACCAGAGCTTCCCTCCTCTACATGTCTGTTGAATGTGTGAATGCGTCCCTGGACGTGTCAATGAATGCTTTTTTTTTTTTTTTTTTTTTTTCTGGGCACCATGTAGAAGATTTTACTACTGACTTGGTTTGGTAAACTCTCAGTTAAAATGCCTCTAAGCGGTGCCTTCATCTGCTGTGACCATATTACTGGTGTCTATATTAGTTTACTTTGATTTTCATTTGTAGATTTTCAAATCTTCTTAGGGCTAAGAGGGCATAGAGAGAAGCATAAGAAAATGAATTGGAAAGAGAGATTACTCCCTTAATAGCCATTGAGGCTCATAAAGGTGGAGAGAAAAAAATGCTGGAGACCAAATGAGACCCTGGATAGATGACCGAGACATGCTTTCTACTGTAAGATCTGGTCCTCTCTGGTGGGTGGAGTTCCAAGAGTGTAGCTTTTTGTGTATTTTCTTGGATAGGGCCACCACTGTCTGAGAAAATACTTCACCTGGTGATGGGATAATAAACCTGAGTATACTTAACATTCAGTTTCTTTCCAGTGATGGAGAAAAATCTATCTTGTGTTTCTCTTGCAGATTGTAAAAGCATTAGAACACTTACACAGTAAGCTCTCTGTCATTCATCGAGGTAAGCATACGTGGAGTTGCTTTGGCTGTTCCTTTTATGAAATCAATTTCTTTTACCCAGATTTGGAGGTGAAATTGAGTTAAGCAGTAAAACTGAGGGGTTTTCCTTCTCAGAGGAATAGCCAATAAGTAGCTGCTTTTTATCTTGTCTGAGGATGTTAAGAAAACACGGGGTCTTTATTACACCTAAATTGAATATAAACCACCTGTTACCATGCACAGCTCTGGGATTACCCCATTGAGAATTATTTTAGAAGATAGGATAAAAAATGCATGTAGTATAGACTATCACTTGGGAACTTCTTAGAAAAGTGGAATCATGCATGGTTCCCCAGACCACCTGAGTCTCCATTATTAACAAGATCCCCAGGTAATTTTTGTATACCATAGAGTATGAAAAGTTCTAGTATAAAGTATAGCTATTTCAGATAGCAGGAGGCAGGATAAAATGAAAAAATTGATAGATTTATCTCTTCTTCCTCTACTTCCTCTTTTTTCCTTCCTGTTGGCCTGTCATCTTTTCATCCATCCATCCATCCATCCAATTATCTGTACATCCATTCTTCCATCTTTCATCCATCCATTTATCACTTATGCTCATTTTCCCACCATTTATGCATCACTATAATAGATGGCTGAAAAGAAAACATTCTTATTAAAATTCCACAAAGGGATTTTTGATAGGGAAATAAGACAAATGTACGACAAACACATGGAAAAAAATAAACCACATTACACAGAGGAAAGTACCAAATATGGAAGTAGTCTAGATAGAATATAAAGCAAGGAGATGATTAGCACTGGGTGATTATAGTAAAAGAAAACGTCTTAGAAGACACATGCTCAACCAAGTCTGAAGAAAAATTAGGGTAAAGTATGGATAGCTAGTAGGGTAGTGAGATTTGATGATTCTTATGCTCTCTGAGCCTGAAAGTGATGTAAAATGCCTTACACAGAGGGCCGGTTATTACTATTATTACTGTTACTATTATCATTAATCATTATCATTAGAAATTGGAAAAAATAGGAAGGAAGAGGAAGAGGAGAAGAAAGTGGGAAAGAATCCATGTGGGAAAAAGAGTGTGGATTACCCACAAATGTGAAATTTAGCTTTTAAAGATTTATTTCAAGATGAGGAAGTATTTCATTTGTATTAAAAGATATATATATACATAAGGCATAAAATAAAATTTGCATATCCACCATTCAGTTTAAAGGAAAACATTATAAAGGATAATTTCTAGTGTTTTTAGAATAACCTACTGTGCTGATTACGTGTCCTTTGTGAAAAGTGCCACAAGGGGAAAAAAAAAAAGTTAACTGTAATTTCTAAGTCCATCATCTAAAGATAGCAATGATTATCTATTTGAGGGTATGCTTTGTGATCTGGAATATCTGAATTCCTGAGGAGTTACATTTATGTAACCTCGGACACACTTCTTGCAGATGCTTCCATCAAAACTGGTTGTTTTGATCAGATTGGATGTATGGTTACATTGCAGCCTGCCTTACAATTCCATGGTCTCTTTGCTCCTACCCTTACTGTGCAATAAGTTATGAGGAACTGGGCTTTAAAAAAAAATTTTTGTTGTTGTTGTTGTCATCAGAACACTTAAGAGGAGATCTACCCTCATGGCAAATTTAAAGTGTGCAACGCAGTATTATTTATTATAGGGTCAATGCAGCAGATTTCTAGGACTTACTCGTTTTGCATAATAGAGACTCTGCCCAAGGAACAGGGCATTTGATTTGGCATAATCTTTAAAGTTTGTCCTACACATACGGGGGCAGTGAGGATTATAGAGGAAACAGCCCTTTCTGCGGATGGATTCACAATCCTACAAGGAGGACAAAACACGAAATAGAAAGTCCAGTTGGAAGCAGTAAGATGCACCAAAGTGTTGAGTCAGGGAGGGCCATTAGTTTCTTGTTGGGCCCCAGAGGGAAAGGAAGGCCAGGGGGGACGTGGAGATGCCATGCCCCCTGGTGGTGGACACATGAATCTTCAGAGCAGCCTGGGACCATGGGCTTTTCTGCTTGTTCTTGCTTTCAGATGTCAAGCCTTCCAACGTGCTGATCAACGCTCTGGGCCAAGTAAAGATGTGCGATTTTGGAATCAGTGGCTACCTTGTAGACTCTGTCGCTAAAACTATTGATGCAGGATGCAAACCGTACATGGCCGTAAGTACAGCAGTGGGGGGAGGCATCTGGAAATGCAGCCGCCAGCAAAGCTCGCCAGGAAATAGGACATGGATGGCCACACGGGGAAAATGGAAATGTGCTTACGGTGCACGAAATATTCTGCTTCTTCTTATTTTTTTCTTAAATATCTTCTGTCTGAACTCGTTAGTCACTTGCTTCAAACATATTATTTTTAAAAATTCAAGGAAAAGAGGTCTATTACTTGGGGGAAGAAAGCCATGTAAGTCATCTGTACGGCCCACACGAAATTGTCACACTGTGTTGCAAGGGAGTGTTGTCCTGTTTGTTGAGGACAGAGCAGTAACCAGAATTTAAATCACCCAAACAAGTCAGTGAGGTTAGTCCAGAGAGAAGCTCATAGCTGTGAAGACTCGTTGCCATTGGCAGAGACTTAGGGACCCCCTTTCACGTTACAAGGCCTCTGTATTGTGTCTTGAAATTGATTTGCACTTGGGGTTGAGAACCTTCCCATCAGTGTTGAGCTAAACTCAGACAGTGGCCGGTGACTCTTGGGGATTCTTACTATTGGATTCTGGACTGTTAGTGTTCTCAACAAGGAAGATTCTAGCCTGGCAAAGTAGCTTTCTACTGTGTAATCCTATTTTCTTCTTAAGCCAAAATGGAAATTAGTTGGGTTTTTTTCAAGATTTTACTTATATATTCATGAGAGACAGAGAGAGACAGAGAGGCAGAGACACAGGCAGAGGGAGAAGCAGGCTCCATGCAGGGAGCCCGATGTGGGACTCGATCCCGGGTCTCCAGGATCACGCCCTGGGCTGAAGGCAGATGCCTAACCGCTGAGCCACCCAGGGATCCCTTAAAATTAGTTTTCAATTGTGAGGGACTTTGATCCTTCATTGTCTCCAAGAAAAGACTCCTGTAGAATAAAGAAAATCCCATGGAGGCATCAATATTTATTGTAGTTAATGAGTCTTCTTGGTGATAGCTTTAAACAACTCACCTGGCAGCTGGTGACACCTTCCCTCCCAACCCCAGAGATTTGACTGAGCTAAGAACATATCTCATTTGTCTTTTTCTGTCTCCTTTGCAGCCTGAAAGAATAAACCCAGAGCTCAATCAGAAGGGATACAGTGTGAAGTCTGACATTTGGAGTCTGGGCATCACAATGGTAACGTGTGATGATCATTCTGGACTGTGAGGTTCTGGGCATGAAGCTGCAACGGGGTGGGGTTTGACACCTTAACTGTGGGTCCCGAGCAACCTTTCCTGTCTGACGTAGCAGGAGGTTTTGAATGATGATTGTCTGCAGGGTGTTGTAGTTAAGACTTCACTGGGATTGGGCCAACCCAGTTTTTCTTTTTTTTTTTTTAAGATTTTATTTACTTATTCATGAGAGACACACACACACACACAGAGAGAGAGAGAGAGAGAGAGAGGCAGAGACACAGGCAGAGGGAGAAGCAGGCTCCATGCAGGGAGCCCGATGCAGGACTCGATCCTGGGTCTCCAGGATCACACCCTGGGCCCAAGGCTCAGTCGCTAAACCGCTGAGCCACCCGGGCGTCCCAGTTTTTCTTTTTTCATTTCACCTCTAACTGGCCGTGTGTCCCTGAGTAAACTGATGGAGTCACACGGACTGGACTGTCTTATTATCCTCATCTATAAAATGAATCCTGACCGTAGCTCTTGATAGTTTACCTTATTGTTTAAAATTAAATTATTCTAAGCTGGGCATGAAGTTTAAAGCTACTCGAGGGGTGCTAGCGTGTGTGGACCCTGACAGAACTGTGTTACCCGGGCTGTGCTCCCCAGAATGCGGTTATGATAGAAGTCTAGGCCATCCGGGTCACGTATAGCCAAAGGGCCTAGTAACCAACAAGATAATTCCCTTAGGCACAGTCCTAAAGTCATACAGTTAGTGCTTTACTTGTAACTTTGGTGATCCGACATTTTCAGTGTATCCCCAAGGTCTGAAATTACCCACTGTGGTCCTGGCTCCTTCCCAGGCACAGCAGCTGATTGAATCCTGTGAGTTATTTCACATCCTTGCCCAGAATACACGTGATGATCTTGTAATGGCAAAGTAGCCTTACTCAGATCCAAAAAAAGATCAGTCATTTGGTCCTAGGTTGTTTTTTTTTTTTTTTTCCATTCCAGTAAGGGACCTGCAGATGGCAGCAGATGTACAGCTCTGTAAAAGCTGCAGGGCGAGCATAACTTTTCAGAGCAAACGTTGGAAAACCTTGCTTGCTTTACATCCTGGAGCTTAATACTGCTGGCTTACAATTTTATTAAGTGTCACAGTGGCTTTGGGTGAGGACCCAGTTATAAATAGTCTCCACTGGCCGCCTGTAGTGAGATAATATTCAAAAATCCATAGCACTAGGAATTGGGAAAATGTAGACAACGTATCGTTAGTTCCTTTCTCCCCAAATTTTACTTGAATTTCACCTTTGTATTTCTCTCGGATTCTCCTGGGACAGAACACAGCAGATTCCCTAAAGTAGCTCTATTTCAGCTGCTGTTCCCTTGTGTTTTTTTTTTTTGTTTGTTTTTGTTTTGTTTTGTTTTGTTTTTTTCTCTTCTCTAGATTGAGTTGGCTATCCTCCGGTTTCCCTATGACTCTTGGGGAACTCCCTTCCAGCAGCTCAAACAGGTGGTAGAGGAACCCTCGCCACAGCTCCCGGCGGACAAATTCTCTGAAGAGTTTGTTGACTTTACCTCACAGTGGTAAGAGAGCCTCATCTGCCAAATGCCAGGGTGAAGGAAGAAGAGGAGTTCTCATGAACTCCCTCCATTGGTTTTAATCCATTACACATACATTCATTCCAAAAGCATGTATGGAGTGTGTCCTCGAGGCCGGGGGAACAAAGCTGGCCTTTATCCTGGTCCCTGCCCGCAGTGAACTCAGGGTCAAGTAGGGGAGTCTCTTCAATCTATGGTACAATATGGCAGGGATGGAGGTATGCATAGGGTATTTGGGGAAACTCAGAGGAAAGGCATTAGGATAGAGTTATTGGAGGAGATCAATTCTGTGCTGAAGATTTTTCCAAGCCATCAAGAAGGTAGGGAAGAGAAACATATTCCAAGCAGAATTCCATACTTCGTGTCCCAGGAGCGAGAAACTCCTTTATGAGAGCTATAAGCTATTTGATATTGATTACAGCATCAAGAGAACAGTGATCGGATGGTTGGATGATTAGGGCGGTGGAGTAGATTAGACATTCTAGTGTTTTGTAGGCTGTCTCCTAGACAACGCTCACTAACTGTGGATACGCTTGCCCGTGAGGGTGCAATGGGGCAGTCTTGGGGTCTGAGAAGGGAATCTAAGGAAAGCTTGGAAGTAGAAATATGGAAGGAGTCATGCTAATTACATAGACTTTATTCTCATGGAAATTGTCAGGGGCATCGAGGAAAGTAGGAGAGGGCATGCATGGTGACCATACTGCCTGGTATGAAGGACCATTGCAAGTGCTCCTGGAAGAGGCCACTGAAATGGAGTTTGTTTATATGGGCACCCCGCAGAAGCAGAGAGTGACAAGCCCAGTGGTGACGCTGGGAGAGGAGCGATCCCGGCCGCTCCTGCTGAGGAAGGAGCTGGGCCCCTGAAGGCCATTTGACAGCACAGCCCCTCAAGGTTATCATTTCTTGGCCTCCGTGCTCTTTGGAAGAAGTGTTCTGAATGCAGCTTTTATTGGGAAACATGATGAGACAAAGCAACTGTCTGTTGTTTGTGAAACCAAGGCCTCTTGGACTTTCTGTTAGCGTGGGTCCCCGTGTCACCCCTGGTATTTTGCCCTGATGATGTATGAAGCTGGCCTACTGTTGCTTGTTTTTGTTTTAGTTTTGGCTGAATGGCTAGAGAGGGGCTGGAGCAGTGGGCCGTCGTACAGTGTGTCGTTGGGTGCCTCTGACTGGGCACTTCTTCTGGGCTGTTGGGGTGCGTCCTCCTCTCTGCTTTCCTCGAGCCAGTGTGCTGTGCGTGGTGGCACACCGGCCAGATTGACATGGGCTCATGATTTTGCCTTCTGGATTTGAGAGCTTGTTTTTATTGTTTATTTTTATTTTTTTCCCCTTCTTCTTTATCCTCCAACGTTTAAAGGTCACATAGGAAAAGGGATGAGTCATCTTGGGTAGTTCAGCCCAGTAGTTCTCAAGAGGAGTGGTAAAGGGGAAGGATCTTACCTAGGGAAGTCTTTTCAAACTCTCCTCCCTATAACCTTTCTGTTGCCTGTTCCCCTGTCCCCAGGAGTCTGGCTGGGTACTTGGGAAAACTTGGTAAGCACAAGGCTGGCGTGAAACGCTTTAGAAAGCAGAGCTGCCTGTTGCGAATCACCAGTGTACTGCAATAGTTGTCAACTCTGGCTGTTCATTTATAAAACTCGAGAGAACTTTAAAATGTACCATCGCTTAGGCCACACCCTCAGACATTCTGACTTAATTGGTCTGGGGAGGATCCCAAAGATCAGGATTTTTCCAGTGTTCTCAAACCATTCTACAATACAGCTGGGGTGAGACCGCCTACTTTTGCCCTCTGATCTGTGGACCTGATATCAACTTCTTTTTCAAAACCTGATTTTCTTCTATGATTTATTTTTTTTTTAAATCATGCAATTATTTTTTCTTTCACCAAAGTATTCTTACCTATTACTTAGAATTTCCTCTGAAGATTTTAGAGCGTTAAAGCTTCTAATGGATCTTCAAAAAAAATTAAAACCTTAAGAAATAATGCTTTCTGATTTAACATATGCACACATACATGGACGATCCAGATACTTTATTATGGCTCTTTGTGTGGCGACCACTCTGTGCCTATGCTCCGTCCCCCCCCCCGCCCCGAAACACTGCCAGCTTCTTAGTGCCTGCCGTCTGACGTCTCTGATTCCCTCTCGTTTTCTGTCAATTTTGGTCCTAGTTACTGTAGTTCATAAATTTAAAAACTTTGAGCCATAGATATTTTCTAGCTTTCCTAAACCATTAGTTCTGGTCATTGCTATTAATTCTGTGTCATTGTACTCATATTTGTGTCAGCCAGTCTGGCTTGCTTATGAGGTTTACTAATATATATGTGTGTGTGTGTGTGTGTGTGGGTGTGTGTGTGTATAATGGAGTACACATATATATGTAGTATATATACATATATATAATAGAAACCAAACTCAAGTCACCTAAACTTCCAAGTTTTCAACTTCAACTATTTCAACAATTCAATCTTTTTTTTTTTTTAAGATTTTAGTTATTTATTCATGAGAGACACAGATAGAGAGACAGAGACAGGCAGAGGGAGAAGCAGGCTTCATGCAGGGAGCCTGACGTGGGACTCGATCCCGGGACTCCAGGATCACGTCCTGGGCCTAAGGCAGGCGCTAAACCACTGAGCCACCCGGGCGTCCAACAATTCAAACTTGCAGTGTTGTAGTTCCTGTAGACCCTGACATTTAAGAGTATCAACTGTGTAAAATAGTGAGTCGTTTTTGTTGGTAGGATAATTAGAAAGAAGAAGAAGAGCATTAATTTTGAATTTATCAGCATTCTTAATGATTCTCTTGGATTTTTTTGTTTGTTTGTTTAACGAGTACAGTCTCTTCTGTTTCAGATGGCAGGTCAATACCTTTTTGCCTCCCATAAACTACCAATATATTTTCTTTGATACCCCCTTCGTATGAACACTATTTTGAAGTTCATTGAGTTGGAAAAGTTGTCTAATGCTTCAAACACGGGGCTGATTTTTTATTTTTTTAAAAGATTTTGTTTATTCATTCATGAGAGACACACACAGAGAGAGGCAGGGACACAGGCAGAGGAAGAAGCAGGCTCCCTGTGGGGAGCCTGATGTGGGACACAATCCCAGGACCCCGGGATCATGACCTGAGCCAAAGGCAGATGCTCAACCACTGAGCCACCCAGGCACCCCTGTTTTTTGTATTTTTATGACATGGCTGTGTTTCTTCAAGACTTCTCAGAAAGCCCCTATTTTTGTGCTTAAGTGGGGAAAGGGGAATACAGACCTGGAAAGTGAAAAATTAATCGTAAATTTTGAGATGGACACACCTGTGGTTTTATCTCCTACCTCTGTCTTGGGCTGAGTGTCCAACTGGAAGAGAAAGGTCGCATTATCTATAGCCTTGGTTATCTATCAGGGTATGTGTGACCCTTCCTGGGATGGGTTCTAACTAAGCATTTGAGGACCCCTCCCAGTGTCCTAGTGCTGCTCCACACTGTACAACTTCATCCAGAGGGTCAACTTGGCTGTCACTGTCCTCTGATCACTGCTATGAGTTGACAGTCATCCTGGTCTGTGAGATGGACTAGAAAGCAGTAACAAGCTGACACTCTCATACCCAAGGTTACATCTCGAGCCCAGAGCTCCATCTGATGTGTTCTTTTGCAATAACACAAGAGAAACGTCCTTGGTGGGAGTGTGTGCATGTGTGAGGCTGGGGAGGATGGAGGCAGGGGGTAGAAGAGGAAAGAAAGTTAAAGCATTTATTCCTTATGGACTATAAAGGAAAACCCAATGATGTTCTACAAACCCGCCCTTTCTGTACTTCTTTTGAAATAGGACTCCTGAATGACATTTCCATCTCTCTTTTTTCCCTATACATGGCTTTCTTACCATAGCAGTTCTAAAGGATTCCTGGAGTAGGTGATGCTGTCCATAAAGGCCTTGTTTTGGGATTCATAATAGAGAAGTCTAATAAAAAAGCCTCCCCTTCTGGTCCAACAGACGGTTAATGAATGCATGTCTAAAAAGGAAAAACAGAATAGCCTCTTCCTATAGGTTCACAGGCTTGGTGACTGAAGGAAGTCTCTGGAAACCCAACTACTGAGTGCCAGAACCACGCGACTTCTTTTTTGCTTTTCCTTTGGGCCCATTTGAGAGGCTCAGTGCCCAGCTGACCAGCCTGATGGCATGTTGGAGTGTGTTGGAGGCCCACCCAGATGGTGGTACTGTCTGACTCAGAGGAACTAGCATAAAGCAGAGACAATCAAATATAGTTCCCGACTTGTTCAGGAAAAAAGAGTAAAAAGAGGCACTGGGTATTTGTTTAGCTTATGACAAATGTATGGGCTTGTGAGGCGCAATGTGTTTTTATTCTGTGGATGTGCCAAATAGCCCTTCTTGGAAACCTCCAGAGGGAATTCAAATAGGCAGAAATCCTCTGGTCAGCACAGACTTCAAGCTAGCAGTTCTCAAGACAGCATGAAGCTGTTTTTTAGTGTCAGCTACGGTCAGGAGCGTGTGTTGTGGCATTTGGAAGAAGAATTAGAGCAGTTAGCTAATTGCACGCTTGAAAATGACAAGCCACTTGAAAATTCAAAAGTCTGACTCCAATCCAAAAAGAAATTGGTGTAGCTTTGAACTCCACGGTTGTTATTTTATACTGAATTTCAAGCACTTCCTATCAAACATGGAAAATTTGCTTTCCTCCCCCCCCCCCCGCCACCCAAACTTATCCTGAGTATTTTGCTATTTTTAGCTCGTGTTTTGAAGTGTTCTCAATTTAAAAGATGGAGAGAATGGGTTTTATCAGTTATATTAATTCAATAAACAGCCTTGGATTGCTGTGTAAGTATTTTCCATGAATGCTCTCTGTGCTAGTGCTTGTGGTAAATTCTGAGCCTCCTGATCAGAGGCTGTAAGTCAAGAAATAGCCTATCGGCCAGCAATCCCTGAGGTTTCAGGAATCTGAAACACTTTCTGATGCATTCATCAACTTGGGGTACTTTCCCCACATTTTCCTTATACAGACTAACACAAAACAAAACAAAAAACAAACGAAAAACCTCTAGAGAAATTTTCTTAAACTGTTCCAGAAGTGAAAAGATAAGCTATCCTGACTTAGAATGATCTCTCCTTAAAAAAAAAAAAAAAAAAAGGAAGCATTTACTTTCCTTGACCTGATGAGAAGAGAGAGTCTTCTTTCATTATCTACTAAACAGAAGTTCAAAACTCAGCAACATCACAAAGATCTCTGGTTGGTAAAAGAGGCCACTGTTCTAATACTTGAGCAAGAAGCTTCTTTTCTTGTCATTCCCTTGGTTCGGTTGCTGACTGATGGAAACTAGTCATGGAAAGGTGGGTCATGGTCCCCCAGGTGAATGTTAGCAGAATCAACCCAGAGCCCTGACCCCAGGATTCACGAAGGTGCCTGTCACCTGAAGTCAAGCACAATAGTGAATGTGGACTTAAGGTTGTGTTTTCCACGATTGCTTCTGGCCAGTTAAATAGTTCAGACTATGGAGAAGACTTTCTGGTTTTTGATTTGCTTTGAACAATAGCTGAAAATTCAGGGCTTTTGTATGTACGCCTGTTTTTTTTTGTTGTTGTTGTTGTTTGTTTTTTTGTTTTTTTGTTTTTTTCACTATGGTCTGTGGTGCAAGCCAGCAACGTTCCTGGGATCACGTTTCTTCTTCTGTGTGTTTCCTTCTAGGCCAACTAGCTCTTGAACTTCAAAAGAAAACTTCTGCTTCCTGGGGTTCAGGGATGTTCAGGGATAGGGAGGTGGTATAATTGAGAATGTGCACGAATGACAGCTGCATCAGCTGGAGGTGCTTCTAAGTGAATTTCATTTCCGAGCAGGGGCTAGAAGGCAGCAATGAGGAGGGATCCTCTTGTACACGTAGCCCAAGGGGTTTGCAACCTCTGCACGCATGACTTTTTTGGACTGGATCATTCTTTGTTGTGGGCAGCTGTGCTGTGCATTACAGGCTGTTTAACAATATCCCAAGTCTCCATCTCTTAGATGCCAGTGGCACCACCAGGTGTATCAACAACCAAAGATGCCTCCAGCCATGGCCAAATATCCCCTGCAGGGCAAAATCACCTGCAGCTGAGAACCACCAATAAAGCCCCTGTAGACTCTCAGGATACAGATCCATGCAAAGTCCTAAGTGGGACCTACAAGGTCTCCTTCATTTCACTCAGGCACATCTTCCCATATCAATCTGACTTTGACAGTTGATAATTCCTCTTTCTAATTCGCTCTTATTTTTATCCTCAGTTGAGATGAAACTTTCTCTCATAGGTTGTCTGGTCACTGAGGTCACTAGGTCCTAGATCTGCCCTCAGTTCCAGGTTGAAAACTTCTCTCCTCACATCTACTGTACCCTGTCTCAGGTTCCCTGGCTTCTACCCACAGCATTGCCTGGAATAGGTAGGCTGGTTTAAGTTGTTTTGGTTCAAAAGCTTTCTCACTCTCTCTCTTTTGTTTGTTTTTCATTTCGTTTTGTTTTATACCACACTTTCTCAAAGTGTCTCAACTACTTCACTCTCTTATGGCTCCATACCTTGTCTCCCCTCTTCATTATTATTAGTCCATGGGGGCGGAGCAGAGCTCATGTCACACATACTAGGTCTCATCTGCTCAAATGATCCATTGGCACAAATCCCAGCAACCTAATGATCAGTCACGTTTTGGTTTCTTCAACGCCAGGCTATGTTCCTTTCCATCCATGATTCTGTGGCCCGGTGGGCAGAGGGGTCCGTAGGTTGCCTTGCAAACCATAGTTTTCAGAACCATCCTTCTCTTCATTCTGTAACCTGGGGTTCCAACTCCCAGTAAATCACTTCTTTTCTTTTCTTTTCTTTTCTTTTCTTTTCTTTTCTTTTCTTTTCTTTTCTTTTCTTTTCTTTCTTTTCTTTTTTTTCTCCATTTTAAGGCCATGGGTGGATACAGGGGTGGGATGAGGATAGAGGTGAGGGGTTGGTCTCTTCTTATTGCAGTTTTGTTACTGTTGCCTCCAGTATCAAATGTCATTAAAACGTTCGTGTATATAGACAGTTGTGTATACGGGGTGGGAGCCACTCAACAGTAGTGCGTGACCACAAAGAATCTCTAAGTAGAGTAATTGGGAAGTCACTGAGTTTGCTTTCTCTTTCATTAGCCAAGAGGTTGTAAGCAAGTAGCATTACTTTAGACATTTTATGGGGATATTGCTTCTATCTTAGGTGGGTTTGGTTAGAAATATATAAAAGCAAATTATACATAAGCAAGGAGAACCAGGTATTAAAGATAGTGAAGAGATAACATGTAATGTAAGAAATACGTGCCAATTTCTTTCCCAGTGCGGGTAGAGGAAATGCTGTTTTGAAGGAAAGTAGATACGTATTTTGGAATGCAATGGCTGTAGATCAGAAAAGCTAGTTTGTATGTCATTTGGTAAAGTATCAAGAGGAAAGTACACACACACACACACACACACACACACACACTCTTAGTGTTCCTATTAAGATATACTTAGTGTGATTTAAAACAATTTTATAAGTGTAACAGAAGAGGGGAGTCAGGATAGGAGATTCATGTTTTCAATACATTTTAATGCTGGTTGTGTTTAGTCTTCTGCAGATTCTGAAATCCTAGTCTTGTGAAAATACAGATGGTTCATAGATTTTAACGCAATTCCTTTTTTTTTTTTCGTTAGCTTGAAGAAGAATTCCAAAGAACGGCCAACATATCCAGAACTTATGGTACGTATCGTTACTGGTGTAAACTTGTCCAAACCAACAGGTAGTAAAGGTAAAGTGACTAAGACCTAAATTATAATCAAACAATCATATTGGAAGAGCTGGTTCATTGAGAAATTGGTAACTGGAAGTGAATTAAAGCAAAAAAGACCAGGAGCAGGTCACCTTTCTTAGCAACTTTTTCCATGTTGATAACCTTGACATCATATAGACTAAATGATGCCTATAAAATTTAACTTTTCAAGTTCTCAAGATACCAAGAGTCATTAATTACTAATATAAATGAGGGAAATCATGATTTAAAGGATTTCAGCAATGAGAAAAACAAGTGCTGGGCGACTCATCAGATATTTTTGATAAAATATTTAGGATTTGTTGGGTGGGGAGCTTTTTTGCTGGATGTTTAGTGAGGAAAGACTGTTTTCTCTCTCTGATTTTCACTTTAGTGAACAAAAGGTAAGCCTTATTCATTTGAGTTGTATTACCTCTGCATTCACAGCTTACCATTTGCACTAAGAAAAAAAAAAGAGTGAAAATAAGACCTTACAGTTGTTGTTTTAAAATAGTTTCTCTTAAATTATGGTAACTATAATTTTAAGCTGATTACAAATGTTTCTTTAGTATAGATGGCAGGGACCGAAACTTAGGAACTTTTATCTATGTCGAAACACATTTTTGGGGGAAATATGATAAAATTCTGACTGCTTACTTATTTGCATGAACTATTCCCTAGATTTGTTTCAATTATCAAGGATTTAATTTTAGCAGGGGAAGGAAGAGTTTTGTTCCTAGAGATAAGAGCAATCATTGGCACCATTTCTTCTGGGAACACAATTATTATTTTTTTTTAATTTATTTATGATAGTCACAGAGAGAGAGAGAGAGGCAGAGACACAGTCAGAGGGAGAAGCAGGCTCCATGCGCCGGGAGCCCGACGTGGGATTCGATCCCGGGTCTCCAGGATCGCGCCCTGGGCCAAAGGCAGGCGCCAAACCGCTGCGCCACCCAGGGATCCCTGGGAACACAATTATTTAGCAAGCATTAAATGCTTGCTTCTATCACACCCCAACACAAGCAGTGCTCAGTCTTTAAGACCTGCTCAGGGCAGGTGCTAGAAGTACAGGTTCCTTAGATCTTTAAAAAAAAATTTAAAAAAAAGATTATTTATTTGAGAGAGAGAACATGAGCAAGGGGGAGGAGGCAGAGAGAGAGGGAGCAGCAGACCCCCCCACTCAGCAGGGAACCCGACATGGGGGGCTTGATCCCAGGGCCCTGAGATCATGACCTGAGCTGAAGGCAGATGCTTAACTGACGGAGCCTCCCAAGCATTCCTTCCTGAGCTCTTTTAACAAAATGATGTGGTGAGGTGGCTCTGACATGGAAAAAGTATATCTTGTATTCTATATACAAACATATAATTGGCCATTTATATATCTTCTTTGGAAAAACATCTTTTTAGGTCTTTTGCCCATTTAAAAAAAAATCAGATTTTTTTTTTTTTTTTTTTTTTGCCGTTGAGTTGTATGAGTTTTTTAAAAAAATATATTTTGGATATTAACCCCTTATCAGATATATGGTTTGCAAATACTTTCTCCCACTTTGTAGGTTGCCATTCCATTCCATCAGTCATTTCCTTAGCTGTGCAAAGCTTCTTAGTTTGATGTGGTACCCCTTGTTTTTGCCAACAAGTCCATGAAGAGATGCTCGTCATCACTAGTCATCAGAAAATAGGAATCAAAATCACAATGAGCTATCACCTCACACCTGTTAGAATGGCTATTATAAAAAAGACAAGATATAACAAGTACTGGCGTGCCTATGGAGAAAAGAGAACCCTGTGCACTGTTGGTGGGGATGTAAATTGGTGCAGCCAGTATGGAAAAGTGTGAGGGTTCCACAGAAAAGTTAAAAAATAGAAATATCATATGATCCAGCCATCTCACTTCTGGGTATGTATCTGAAGGAAATGGAATCACTATTTTAAGGGGGTATCTGCAATGGCATGTTCATGATAGCATTATTTATAATAGCAAAGACATAGAAACAATGTAAATGTCCATCAATGCATGGATGGATAAAGAAAAGGTGATACCCACACATACACATACCATGGAATATTATGCAGCCATAAAAAAGAAGGAAATCCCCCCCTTTGGCGACACCATGGATAGAATGAGTATAGCCTAGTACTCTAGCTAATAATAATGCATTGCGTACTTGAAAGTTGCCAGGAGAGTAGATCTTAAAGGTTCTTATTGCAGAAGAAGAATGGTAAGTATGTGAGGTAAAGGATGTATTGGTTAACCTTATTATAATTATTTCAGAATATATAAGTGTATCAAATCGTCATATGCGTAAACTTATACAATGTTCTGTGTCAATTATATTTCAATAAAGCTGGGGGAAAAAAAAGAAGAGAAAAAGTATAGCCTGGAGATTTCAAGCCAGGGAGAGTTGCAGAAAACTGATCCATACCATACAGGTGATAGTCACAGCCAATCACGTGGATTTTTTGGTTCTGCTGGTTAAACTTTAAGTCTGAACCATTCTCTCATTGAGGGAGCTGTAAAGGAGCACTGGGGAGAGTTTTAGAATAGACAAGGTGGTTTCCTTGGGCTCCCAATTGTCCCCTTTAAAAAGGCATCCCCTAGGACTCAGCATTCTGTTGTTGGCTGTATTTGAGCAAGACTCACAGTTGAGAGAGAAAAGATGGGTAATGTGGAGAAATGCTGAGAAAATCTCAGCATACTACCTATTTGGGCTGAACATTTCCTCCTGATTTTATATTATATATATATATATGAAATATATATACGTATATTTTTTTCCACCCTGATTATATTTTTAGTAGCCAGTCAGGGCCTTTTCAGTCCTTTTGGGCATGCTTATGCAAACCCCCAGAGCATTTTAAAATTAATTTCACATAAAGTTCAACAGACGTGGAGTGATTTCTGGGGTGTCTTACGAAGCCTGTACTCCTTGTAAAGTTGCCTTATTAGTCCCTATTTTCAGATAAAGGAAGAGCATTTTATTTCTATATATTTCTGGCTATTTAAAATGGAAAATATATTTTTTTTTTCCTTCCAAGTGAACTCTTATCAGAGATTTCAGTGGAACACACTTAAGGAGAAAAATGCTGAGTTCTAGCTGAGTATACATGGGCAACTGATAATCGAATTCCACCTTTCCAGTATGTTCTAATGCTGTGGTCTTTCATGGTCTACATATTAACGTTACAAAGTCATGTGTATCCCCCCCATCTCCTCCCCCCCAACACACACACACACTTCTTTTTACGACACTAGTCTGTGTGCAGTAGCCTTCTAAGGTTATAACTGCTCTCTGCTTTCCTGTGGAATTGAGGTTTTTAAATGGAAAATCTGAGTCCAAACTCTTTGACTTTAGCATTGGGAAAACACATGCTGAGAGACTATTGTTTAAATTGTAGGAGTTGGTGAAGAAGGGAGAAAAAAAAAAAATCCTTTTTTTTTTTTCCAGGTAAAGGGCAGTATAATTAAGGCCCCAACCCAGACATGTGCCTCTTATAGAAATATCAACTGTTTTCCCTCTCTAACTTGGATTGAAGGGTGTACATGCTTTCACATCATCTCATTTGCTTGTTCTCTCAAACTCCCACTGGGGGACATGACTCAGCAGGATTTGTTCCTCCAGAGTGGGGACCGGCCAACTTTTTCTGTAAAGGGTTAGATAGTAAATATTTTAGGCTTTGTGGGCTGCTATTCGGCTCTGTTGTTTTAGCGTGACAGCACCATATTCAACACGTAAACAGATGGTATGGCTGTGTTCCAAAAACCTCTATGTCACAAATGGGCAGTGGGCTAGACTTGGCCCCTGGAACATTGATCGTTGACCCCTGCCCCAGATAAGAACCACCCGAAATGATAATCAGGTGATGCAGGTGATTGCCCAGCCAGGCCATTATGTTCTTCAAATATCCGGGAAGTTCTAGATTGAATCCCAGTGTTAAGCAAGGATGCCCGAGCCCATAGGAAATCATAGTCTTAAGGGGTGAGGTGTTGTGTAGAAGATACGGTGACCTTTGGTGCTTCTGGTTTGCCCTGATGTTCCTGGTAGTGTGTTCTTGGGTCTCCATGTTTTCTCTAGGCACAGCCATTGGTAATGGCCTCCCTTCCCGTACCTGGCTCCTTTTTTGAGCAACCCAGCCTGGGGATGAATCCATGGTACCTCATTTGCTCGCCTCCTAGTTGCAGGCCTTGCTATTCTTGGTTGATTGCTTATAGAGGGGACTGGGTTCCCTCCCAGCCTTTTACAGTCTCCAAACCCACACAAGAGGGCGAGTCACACTTTCCATTTTGACATGGTTGCCTGCTTTCCCTTCCCCCTGCCCTCTGACTCTCACCGCATTTACCCAGAGAATAACCTGAAAGATGTCTGAAGGTTTTTTTTTTTTTTTTTCTTAAGGACTTCTAGGTCAGGGTATTTGATTCATTCACAGAGTAAGCCTACATTCACTGAGCTCACAGCCAGAGCAGACCCAGAGGCAAGATGGGGCTGGCAGGCGTCAGAGGTAGCCATTGAGACGATCTGAGGTTTGACATGTCCTGTTTTGATAGTAAAGACTTTTAAGTACATTAAAAGATCACCAAATGTCAAGAGGATGTGGGAAAGCTAATGAGCATGATGGTAAAGCACTTGGTAAGTGTGCTGTGTAAGTGGTTAGTAATCAGCAGTAATGCTGCTGTTTATTTGTGCAAGGAGTTGAGGATGAAGGACCCGGAGTCTACAGCTTCAGTGGATATGGTGGGTGTGAGGCTCTGAGCCAACACTCCACCTGGATCTTCCAGATGGGCAAGAGCACACAGCCTCTTTATCATTTTTTTGAGTCACGATACTTACCAGGGACCACCTACCTTCATTTGGGTTTTGTTTCTTTGTTCCTTTCCCATTTGCATTGTTTCCTAAAACTTCCACGGGTGGGCACTCGGTTCCCCACAGAGCTGACTCATCGAGCCCTGCTCTGTCAGGTTTAAAACAAATATAATTAGAAAACCTACAGCGAGGCAATGTGAAGGTTATAAACCAACATCCCCAAAGTCAGGGGGAAATGGAGTGAGTCATCTACACGTCTGCATGCAAAAGTGCTCATATGTAGCCGCTCTCAACATAGTCACTGAAAATAATGCCACCAGACAATCAGGGAGGTGGCCGTGACTGGTGTGGGGGGATACGTGGCACTAGGTTCTATCTGAAGGAAATCATCCTTTTTGGTTTGTTTGCTTCATTCTGTTTCCACTGTGACAACTGTGGTTCGTGAGCTGATGTATCTCCTTTTAATTAGAGGTGTGAGGTTCCAGGGTGACAGCTGGGAACTTACTGTAACAAAATTGAGCCTTCTGGGGAGGGATGTACGGTGCAGAGAAAATGTTTTGTTCCCTTCACAACTGTTTTGGAATATGTGGCCTCTTGGACTCACTAGGTCTATTCCCCCAGCAAACTGATAGCCCTGGTATTTTTGTAAAGTTTGCTTAATCTGAGCTGTGTGGATAGAGACCATTTCTTTTCTTTTTTTTTTATGCTTTTCAATCTTTAATCTCCAAGTTGAATTTCTCTGCACATACCTAGAGTTTGGCAGTCTACGTTATTTTCCAGATGGATCAACTCATCATCAAGAGAGACATAGAAGTATTACTCGTGGCTGTCGATGTGGCTTACAGCGTGGCTTTGTTAACTGTTTCTGTCCAAACCAGCTCTGCAGGGTCAAGGGCAAGCAACGCCTTGACCATTTCCTGTGCTACAAAATTGGTTTCTCCTTCCACCATCCATTTCCTGAGAAATGGATGCACAGAAATTTATGAAATTTCTCATTATTTTATCACTATATCAATCTACAATTACTTTTTTAGGGGACGGAGTTGTTTGCAAATCAAGAGTTTGGACTGTCTTTGTCAATCCTTGTATTTTACCACAGGTGGGATTATTGTTTTGGAAAGCAATAGAAACTCTAGAGGAAACAGATACCAAAATGGGAGGGGTACGGTGAAAGATAAAAGATAATGTTTAAAATGTCCACCTCACTCCATGCGTGCTTGATTTGGGAAGAGGTTGGAAGAGTCCAATGTAACCCTGACAGGGGTATTTGAATGTGTTTAACAAACACATCTGTGAAGTTGCTAATCTCCTATATTGTCAGTGGTGAATATTAATACCATGTGTTTTTCTTTTTCCTTCCCAGCAACATCCATTTTTCACCCTACACGAATCCAAAGCAACAGACGTGGCATCTTTTGTAAAACTAATTCTTGGAGACTAAGTACCGTGGACTCAATCGGTTGGCCCTCCTGTGGATTGGTGGGTTTCACAGGGTGAAGAAGGTTCACTAAAGCGCCAATAGAAACTCATCTTTGAGATAATTTAATCCTGCCTCTCAGAAGGTTTTTTTCTCCCCATTTTCTTTCTTTTTTTTTTTTTCCCCTCCAAAGGGGGCCTTGGAATCTCTAGTATAGAATGAACTGTCTAGATGAATGAAATATGACAAAGGCTTAGGACTTAAAAAAGGTGATTAAATATTTAATGATGTGTCATATGAGTCCTTAAGCTTCTCAGACTTCTCTTGTTCTTTATGAAATGAATGCATTGGCCCTGGTCAAAAGGTGCTACAGTAGTGATGAATTTGTAAGTAGATCTGTACTTTGTCCCATTTATTATTTTAATATTTATGTTTAAGCGCTTGGTTGAAAAGATTCCATTTTATGCAAGGAGGGAGATACAAAAGACAAGGTTGGGTTGGCAATATTTATAGGCCTTTTATTTTTGAAGTTCAATCGTGTCTGTGGTCCAGAAGAAATTATTTAATATGCATCTTTAAGAGTATTATAACAATATCAACAAGGAGCTCTTCTTGTAAAATACCTGTTCCAGCTGTTGTGGCTGCTTGCCATGTCCTCGGATTTCTGCTCTCAACTCCTGGGTAATAACCACATATTTCAGGTGAAGTGGCAAAGTATCTTGGTCATACCCTTTTCCTAACTTTGGAAAACATAAAATCACTTTGATCACATCTCAGAGTCACAAATTTGGTTCTCTTGGCATTTGTGGTATTAATGAAATGTACAGTTCGTGATGCGATTTTATATCACCCATCTATCCTATGTGTGTGTGTGCGTGTGTGTGTATTTGATAAGTCACAGGCTCTGCCAAGTAGCTTCTGTAAACATCTCTAGTAAGGAGGACGTATGTCACTTCTGAGAGGAAATATCATGTCGAACCATACAGAGAATTGGTGCCTTCAATGTGTAAGCCCCAAGCATTGACTTGGTGGCAATCCTGAACATACCCATTTGCTTTCTTCTTTGTTTTTCTTGTTCAATAAAGAAGCCTTACTATTAATGGGAGGACTGCAATAGAAGAAGATGAAAGTTCTTTGATAATCTGAGGAATTAATTTGGGGGAGGGGGGTTGAATTCATTCCTTGGAATAGATTGCCGAATTTCCACAGGTTGAGGTGAGGCTGTATTTTTTTTTTTTTCCCAGCAGCACACAGTAGCTTGTCCTGTTGGAGGAGGCTAGTGCCACCGTGGGTCTCTGGCAGGTTGACAACACAACAAAAGCTCTTTCTCGTGGCTATGTTTGCCCCTAGGTTCTCTAGTTTCCCTGAGGAGAAAAGGAGTGAAATGATCCAGGGAAAGTACAGACTGATAACCTGGAAGCATTGCTTTTGGACATGGAGTTGATAATAAGGCTGTTCTTGAAGGACAAAAGGAGAATTTTCATTAAAAAGGAAGAAGAGAACTCACTCTGATTCTTTCTTTGCCTCAAGTTCAGAGATTTGGAGATATCTGCTCCCTAAAATCCTCCCTTCTTCCCCTCTTAGATTTTGAAGTGCTGTCACTTAATCTTCTGTGTCTGCGTTTTCCCCTTGTTCTTGACCTCTGTCTAGCTCGTAGCAGTAGCCCCGACTGAGTATGACACCTCCATTCACTTCTTTGTATCCAGTTCCAAGACATACCTGTTGGATCAAACATAGTTTCATCTGCTCTCAAGCTACCTCTGTTCTCATCTCTTTCTAGCCAGAAAAGGTGGATGAACCTACCAATTATGGTCATTCACTTTCCCACCCACCTTCCTAAATCTGGCAGTTTCTCTCTTTGAGGTCAAAAGGAAAAAAAAATAACAACCATATTCTTTCCATTGTCCATCCATCTTATGAAAAATAGCAAGTAGTAGGAAAAAAAATCAGAGTTCATTCCATGGACAGCTTTTGGTGAAATACGTAAAGCAAAACACCTCTCTGGTCTAAGTCGGATAAGTCTTACCTGTTGTAAAGTGAGGTTTCTACTTAGAAATATTCTTCACCGAGTGTGTCCCCCTGCGCACTCCTCTCCAGTTTGTGAGCCCAGGACCTAAACTTGCGAAACAATCATACGGAGGTAGAGGAGGACTTAACTCAATGGTTCCCAGCCTTGTGCACAGTGGAATCACTGGGAACTGGTGAACACTTCCAATGCCAGGGTTGGGGTTTCAGTGGTCCAGAGTGGGGCCTGGAAATTGATTTTTTTTTTTAGATTTTATTTATTTATTCATGAGAGACAGAGAGAGAGAGAGAGAGGCAGAGGGAGAAGCAGGCTCCATACAGGGAACCTGATGTGGGACTCGATCCCAGGTCTCCAGGATCAGGCCCTGGACTAAAGGTGATGCTAAACCGCTGAGCCACCTGGGCTGCCCCAAATTGGTATTTTTACCATGCTGTCTGTCATTCTGATGCACAGCGTGGTTGAGGACACTGGGCTAGTACTCTGAAAGAGAGAATTGACCTACAACTTCTTTGGAACGTTGGCAGAGAGAAGCAAGGGCCTCTGCTTCTTTCCCTGTCCTCTCGAATGGGGACATCTTTGCTGCTGTCAGAGACAGCACGTTCCCAGAATATTGATTTGAAACTTGGGATACATTTTCCCCATAGAAATGATGTGCTCCATGGTGATTAGATGTCTTCTGTGCTTAAAGTAGAAGGACTTGATCGTCTTCTAAGTTCTAGAATATGGTTTTGTTTTTGTTTTTTTTTTTTTTTGAGAATGGTGTTCTAAACTAATTTTAAAATAAAGGTGGAGATGCACAGACCATATTTAAGTTGATACAAGTTGGAAGCCTCCTGTACATACATGCAGGTTGCTCTGTGTTACCCTGTTCGTTGTGTATCATTATTGTTCTCTTGCTTGTGTCTTGTTGGTGTGCTTTTTAATCGCGTACCTTCCTTTGCTGTTGATTGGTTCTGTCACATTGGTTGTTGTTCTAGTCGAGGACACGAGATACCCATTAGCCTCAGCATTCGGGGAAGCCAGCACTGACACTAAAGGGGTCATGAGAAATGCATGTGCATTTCTCCACATGCACTTGATTTAGTGTCTTAGGAAAGTAATCACAAAGGAGGCAGAGAGGGGCTAATGTTTTCATGGTTTTTAACACTCAAAATGCTTCTGTTTCCCAAGGGGCTTTGTCAGCTCTGCTCATGGAAACTACTGTTTCTTCCAACGTTGTCTAACAAAACGCTTTATCTTCAGCCTGGAAGTGCGGTAGATGCCTAGTGCCTGACTTCCCGCCTCAATGCTTTCTTGGGCATGTGACCTTCACAGACTTTGAAGGGAAGATTCATATATTTATAGGATTCACTGGAGTGGGTGGTCGGATCAAGTAAAATGAATGAAACCTCTACTGTGCTGGGAATGTTGTCTTCTTAATGTCTGTCTGTGACTTAGAGGGCGATTTGTTGGCTTAAGGGAATCTTCCATTTTTATTGCATTAGCATGTGGAGGGTGCAGTTTCTTGGGACCCCAGAACATTTACATACTCTGATGGAAAATTACCAGAGAAAAATCTAGGAAGAAGGAACTACCAAATAAACCCTATTAGAATAGAAAAAAAAAAAAAAGATATTTTATTGTAGCAGTTCTGTGTTCCTCTCGTCTGGTGTGTGTGTGTGTGTGTGTGTGTGTGTGTGTGTGTGTGTGTGTTAGCACTGTTAAATATGCTGGCAGCTGAAGATACTCTTTGGTTTGGTTTGGCTTTAATTGGGGTACTCTGGATTTCTTTAGGAATCTGTTGAAAGCTAGGACCTTTTCCTTAGGAAAATGCACGTGGTACATGGAACACATAGTTTTGCAAACATTTTTGTTGAGGGGAGGGGAGTCCGGTTTATAGACCCCATCGGATCAATAACCTCTGCTCTGTAGAATGTGGACTGTGACATTCTAGACCAAGACTGGCAAGCTTTGTCTGTAAAGGGCCAGATAGTAAATATTTTGGCTTTGTGCTTCACCAAGCTGTTACAACCACTCAGGTCCGCTGTTGTAGTGTGGAAGCATCTGTAAACAGTACATAAATGAATGAGCTTGGTTCAGTGTCCCAATTAGATTTTACTTACAAAATCGGACGATGGGCTGGATTTGGCCCACAGGCTATGGTTTACCAACACCTGAGCTAGGCCATCGAATACAAAACTCTAATTGATGAACTGAATTTTTCCACTTCGTGGGTATTTAGCTCCACTGCTGTTGAGGTGGATTAGGAAGATGGACATAGGAAATGAAATTGGGAAGAATGGAAGACTGTTCAATCCCATGGAAACTGCCTAATTGTCTCAGGTAAGTATTTCTTGCCCGGGAAGCCAATAGGACAATTTTCCTCCGATGAAATCAACTACCTCCTTTTTCCATTTCTATACAGTAACCGGCATAACTCATTCAAACTTGGAAATAAAAGGTCTGCTTCTCTTAGACATTCTTGTCTCTTAGCTTTGCATTTTGTTTCTCTCTGTGGTGTGATACTTGTGCAGGGGGAGTCATGAACCCAGGCATTAATCACTTGGTTTTCCTTTTCTCTGACCTGCATTCAGATTGGAGAATTTGGGAGGCCACAGTTATCTCAGAAGTAGAAGACAGATAGAATTCTTAAAACCTTCCAATTCATCCCTCTGAGCTGTTTGGCCCTCTTTCAAGAAAGTAAGGCGGTCACGTGTGGGGTCAAAATACTTGTTCATAGGTAAGACTCGGAGCTCCAGGCTCTCACTGTAACAGGAAGGGACGTAGTCTTTCTCCTTGAGTACTAGCCCTAAATTTCTATTCTAAGGGCCTGATGCAAAATGCTCCCTTTCTGATGTGATTATCTTGGATTACCAGCCCTGGTTGAGTTTCTGGGCTGCCTAATGAAACTCTCTAGTGAAAGCTTTGCCTTCCCTCTGGGACCAGAACACTGTCCTTTGCTTTCCTTATGTTGGCACCTGTCCCCCTCTTGCTGTCGGATTGCCATTCAAAGACCGGTCTGCCACCTAAGCTGCCTAGCTCCACTTTCTTCTTCCG